GGTCCAAAGACAAAGGAGTGAAGGGAGGGGAAGGGGAAAGGAAAAGAGGTAAAGGAAAAACTATGAGAAAAGAAAAAAAAAATGGAAATGAAATCTATGTAAATAGGGAAGGGTGGAGGGGGTGAAGGGTGCACAGGTAATGGGGAAAAAGATAAGAACCAAGAAACATTATGTACAGGTACAAACACCCAATGATAAATGTAAACGAATTGTATACCTAAAATGTACCAATAAAAGAACTAAAAAAAAAAATCAGGTCTGAAAAAACCCCATCACTAGAGAAATGTTTGTGAATTAGTGGCCCAAAGACACAAACCAACCAACATTGAGATATCATTGGATGATCACAGAACATCCCCTCTTCTACACTTTACCTCCACATCAACAGGGTTCCAGCTTAGTGAAACTGCTAACAGCAGAAGGAGCTGCAGGGCACAGACTGTCTGAGGAGGAATACTTAGGGAAGCCCAAAGTCAAGAAGGAATACAAAGTCAAGATCACTAGAGGAATTAGAAACTCTGGCACTTTCAAATATTGAAAACATTAAACATAGCTCAACTCTCAGCCAGATTAATTTGTACTCTCCCATTAAAGCCACCTTAATTCATACAGTATCTAGTATACCATGCCTGGTTTCAATGACAACAACAACAACAAAATCTCAGTCAAAAGCAAGGGAAAAATACAATCTGAAGAAACAAAACAATCATCAGAAACAGATGCAGATGTGGACACAGACACTGGGCTTATCAGAGAAGGAATTTAAGTAACTATGATTAATACATTAAGGACTCAAATGCGAAAAGCAACTGTATATAAGAAAAGATGGATAACGCAAGCAGAGACAGAAATTCTCCTACATTCTAAAAAGAAGAATGAGATAAAAGAGTAGAAAAAATATTTGGAGCAATAATGGCTGAGAACTTCCCCAAATTATTAACAGACACCAACTCACAGATTCAGAATGGTCAGAGAACATCAGTCAGGATATTAAAACAGAAACAAAAATGTACAACTATACACACCATATTTGAACTGCAGAAAAGCAAAGACACAGAGAAAATCTTGGAAGAAGCAAGAAAGGGAAAATAATTGTTAACTACAAAGGAAGAAAGATGAGAAATACAGTGAACTTTTCATCAGCACCCATGAGAGCAGGAAGGCAAGAAGTGGAATATCAAAGATGTTGATTGAAAGAAATAAACTACGAATCCAGAATTCTATAGCCAGCAATTATCCTTCAAAAGTGAAGGAAAAATAAAGACCTTCGCAGACAAATACAAACTGATGGAATTTGTCACCAGCCAGCCAGCCCTGCAAAAATGTTGAAAGAATTTCTTCAGCAGAAGGGATATGATGTTCATCATAAGTGTGGATCTATAAGAAGAAAAGAAAAGCATTGGAGAAGGAATAAATGACACACCTGTTCCCAAGTGAATAGACCACATCTCTCTCCTCCTAGCATAACAAGTACACATCCACATCTGTGAATGATGATTCCATTTTTTTTTTTTTTTTTGGACCAAGGATCGAACTCGGGTCCTTGTGCTTGCATAGCAAGCAGCTAAACCACTGAGCTAAATTCCCGTTCTCTCCCAAGTTTTTTAAATTAAACTTGACAGATTAAGCAAAAAATGACTCTATCTGAACTGTTTCTTAATGTATATAGAAGAAATATTTAAGACAGTTTCATTATAAATAGGAGGGTAAAGGGACATCCTCCTATTCAAGATGGTGCTGGAAGTTTTAGCCCATACAACAGGGTAACAAAATAAAATAAAGGCCATAATGTTTGGAAAGGTGCTACCTGATTTCAAGACTTATTACAAAGCTAGAATATCCAGACCATGTGGTTTTGGCGAAGGGACAGCCAAGTAGATCCATGAAACAATAGAGAACCCAGAAATAGAATCATGTGTGTATGGACACTGGTTTTGACAAAATTGCAAAAGCACTATAATGTAAGAAAGATCATAAACAGTGCTGAAGTAGTTGTCAGTTAAATGACAGACTGTTCTTTCAAATTATGAGAAAATATACCCACAGGTAAAGAAAATGAAAACGCAGAGCAAAGAATACAACCAAACAAAACCCCTAAAAACAAATAACCAAACAAAGCACTAAAATCAGCAATAAAATAAAATGATAGCACCAATTTCAAACATATCTGTCATTATAATAGAAAATTGATACCAGTATGAAAAGAAGAACTCCAACAATGTATCATGAGGGAACCTTTCTACACATTGTGTGCTGAAGGTATATTTGTAAAAGTCTCCGAGAGTAAAATAACAAACTCTGTAAGAAAAGCATAAAATAATAATAAATAAATGTGACAAACACAACAAACACAAAACAAATAAAATTCAGAATTTGTAAATGATAGTCTTGTTGACTGTGGAATTAAAAGTTCTTCAAGGCATAAAACAAAAATCAAAAGAGAAACAAAGCAGAGGAAAGATCAACAAAGTTCTCATTTTCTTAATAAAGAAGTATTATTCTATAGCAATAAGAAAAGGATTCAGAACACTACACAGATATTATGACAAGATGTTGAGCATTATTTATAATGTAAGAAATCCACATTTTTCATTTCTATACCATCATCGCTTATCAGATTTTTATAATACACCATATTAGCTGAATACTGAAATGTAGACTCATTGGTAATCTTTCATAATAACCTGGCAAATCTCTTTGAGGAGAACTTTGATAATATTAATCATAATTTAATATACACATATTATGTTACCTAGAGAATATTCTAGAATTTATAGGTATAATATTTTATGAATAAAAATTTATATAACATATTAATTGCAGTAATAAATATTTTAAACAATATATTTGACCATTAATAATGGAGTGATAAATATTGTTCATTGTACTAAATTCTATTGTAGTGGTTTAAAAATAACAAGGTAGATCTATTTGCACTCATTTGGAAAAATCTTGGGAAATTTTATTTATCAAACAGTAAAATTCATGATATCATTTATCTACCTTAACCTTTGAGTTAAAAAGACTTAAAGGGAGAAAGGAGATACATATATAAATACTTTATTAGTCATGGGATATTTCTGAATATATTGCCATTTACCTATTCAATTCAGTGAAAATTTATTGATGCCAATGCCTGTTTTAAGCATATAGAACAAATGTATAAAAGACAGAAAATCCCAGTCCTCATGCAACTTGATTTCTAGAGGACGAGAAAGACAATAAACATAATTAACAAGGGATTCTGTATATGTTAGAGGAGAAAAACCCTGTGATTATCATAAAGAATTGAGCAGGACATGTGGCTGGAGTGCACTGACTGGGTAGGTTGGTATTTTAAAGAGTAGCCAGAGTAAGTTTCATTGAAAGGAATGAGACCCACACTACAGAAAGAAAAAAAAAAACAGTGATTTTTTTAAGAAGGGAACTTGGAAAAGTAGAGTGTGGGGTGAAATACTTATGTGATTACATTAATTTTACAAAAGCCAAAATATTATGCACACAATTCTGTGTGAATACCGTCCAGTCATAGACCCACAGGGGGCGAGTGAAAAATGATAAAGATACAGTATAGATATGTACCAATTCCCCCCAAAGAAATGTAGTTATTATGTTTCACAGGCTTATACTGTAATAAAAAAGGGAAATATTTCTAAGTCTTCACTTTTCAATCACACTTTTTTGTCCTATTTTAAGTCTTAGCATAGATGTTCTCTACTTTCACAGATTTGTCAGTTTTATCATTGCATTTCAAAGTTTGGGCTGGAAGATGACCTTGCCTCCTAGCGGATGAGAATGGAGTGGTGTTAGGAGAGTAAAAGGGAAATAAATGGAAGTGTATTTTAATAATATAGGAATCAGAGTCATTGAGTATGCTTAATTTTCCTTAGAGGAAAAAAGTTAACTTAAAAGAACTTAAGATAACCTATTATACCTGTGGTAATTTAACCATTAATTATATGACTATGGCTGTAACCTGCCTAACAAAATCAAAACCCTTCTTTCATTTGATACTAAAATTAAGTACAGCTGAAGTTCAGTCAAATAAAAGCATGAAAGAAATTGACATGCAGATTCAATTGAAGTACCTGCTCTGTTTTGCATTAACTAATGCCTTTGGGCAAGTTAAATCTGTCTAGCATTTTTTCTACTATCTGGAATTTTAAAAAAAATCTCTAACGTCTCTTCTGCTAGGTAGAGTTGAAAGAATAGTTGATTAGAAGTCAGATGTGCTAAATTTGAGTCTTGATTCTTAACCTTATTGGCTGTTAAAGTCTGAGCAAGACTATTCTCTGAGCTTCAGTTTTCTCAAGAGTAAAATAATAATACTGCTTCCCACATCACAGTGAGCATTAAATGAGATAATTCATGTGGAAAATGTCATTATGTAAAAATACTATAAACTGGAGATCATAAATGGCAGGCATTTGGCCAAGTCTAGCCACAAATGTGTTTGTATTGGCTGGCATAGTTTGGCTTCCACTGTGCTATAGAACAATTTTAATTAGTTGCCAACTTTCAAACATTGGATAATTTCATATAAAGTATGGATTTTTATTTTCCTAAAAAACTGTTAGCTGCCAATATTGAGCCCATATTCTACCTGGCAAAACTAACAGTGAGCATTTTAATTCACACCTTAGAGAGACTCTTCTCTCCCTTTGTTCCTGTTTCCATCATTCAGTCATTTTCTCCCTGACACTGAAGGAGACCCCCAGGTCTGGTCAGCTTCATTAACTTGTGTCTTAATGTCTCTAGAAGTGAAATTTAGTTGTATCATCCACCACTCTACTATGTTGTATTTTTTAGATTTCAACAGAAAAATATTGAAAAGCAAACTGCTCCTTTCTCTTCTTTAAAATTGTGAAACATGCTATATAAAACACTCCCTTCTGTACTCTGGAATTACTACTGCTACTTGTTCAGCAGGATATCTCGAATTCCCAGTGTACCCAGGACACTGGGAATTAAAAGAAAAATGGAGTAAAAGAAAAATGAATGAGTTAATGACAGTAGTGTACTATTTGCCACTTTATAGATATATTTGGGTAGTTCTTTTTTAAAAATTTTAATGTTTTCTTACTCTTTTCCTACCTAGATAAGTTCCTCTATCTGAAGTAGAGAAAACTATTTACTTTTGTGACATTTTTATTCAGTTTAACACACACAAAACAAAATTTTCTGCAGGATGTCCCCAGACAAGATATGGCACAAATTGTGAGTTTAAATGTGCATGCCAAAATGGTGGACTTTGCAATCCCATGGATGGAAGCTGTACCTGTGGCCTTGGATGGACAGGAAATGATTGTGAAAAAGGCAAGTTGATATACTACCTTCTTACCCTCAATAAAAATCTGCTTTAGAACGTGCTGTCATCAGTTGATAAAATACAGTAGAGGCCCGTGTAGAAACTATTTTCCAATCAGGTCAAGCAAGTTGTTTATAATTATGACTGTACTTCCAATAAAAATAGTTATGTAAGTATTGATTATTACCTTGTTACTGGAATAGCATATGAAAATCCTCAAACCTCTTAAGTAATTGAAATAAAAATATGAAAGCACTCCTCAGAGAACTAAATTCTGCTCTGTCTCCGTCAGTTTTTAAACCCAGTCTGGTGGGCACCAAATCTGCTAAGCCTGGGTTTCTAGATAGGAGGCTGAAGATCCCCAGCCACCACTGAGGACTCAAAGCAGGTGGGGTGGAGGGAGTGGGGCTCTGGGAGGAGCCAGTTCACACTGAGAGTGGGCCCAGGGCAAGGGGCAAAAAGGGCACCGGAAGTCTCCAAACCATACTTTAGCAGAAAAAGATTTAACCACACACACACACACACACACACACACGCACATACGTTTCACATATGTAGTTTTATATATAAATAACATTCTTATACATCTCAACAAATATCTCATATACATTATAAAATACATATAAAAGTTTTCATTAATAAATATGTATAAATATAAATATTGATATTGATAGTTGTTCTCTTCCTGAAGAACACTGTATTATTTTGTGCATCACTGGAAATTATGTACTCCATTTAGTGCCCTTTATTTTTTTGTTTTTTCATTTTGCTTTGCTTTTGGTGCCGGGGATCAAACTCACGACCTTGCACTTGTGAGACAGGAGTGGGGACCACTGAGCTAAATCCACAGCCCCCTTTATTTTTTTAAAGGAGAAAACTCTCTTTTCAATAAACAAAGAGAGACTAGTAGTATAAATGAAGTAAATATGCATATTTCTTAAAATATTTTTGAAATAACATAATAGATGATTGGGGAGTTATTTGAACTTCTCTCTTTCTCTCTCTCTCTCTCTCTCTCTCTCTCTCTCTCTCTCTCTCTCTACATATATACATATATATTTATATTCTCATATGACTTTCCTCATATAGGAGAACCCATGCAATATTTAAGCTTGTATGTCTGATTTAACATTATGTTCTCAAGTTGTATCCATTTGCCTTATATAAATGCCTCATAGAAGACTCCTTCACATTTATCTTTCTTTATGGCAGTGTACTACTCCATTGTGTAAACCACATTTTCTTACCCATTCATTTGTTGATGGACATACATGCTATTTCCAAGATCTAGCTATTATAAGTTGTGCTTGGAGACAAAATTGAATTTTGGAAGAATACTAAACAAGAATGCTGGCAGTGAGGCAGTATCCTGTAGCCCTAAATTTTCGACACCCTGAGTAAAACAAACAAAAATTTGCACAGTCAACTTTTTCTTAGAATATTTCAACTATGAGTTGTATGATTCTTTAGAGCTACAATTCCAACATATGATCACATTGCATATGATTATACACTCTCATTCATTTTCACTAATTTTACTGTTATGGTATAGAAGAAAGAACCCTGCAATGGGAGTGGATAAACTTAACTTACGGGCTGACCCCAGCTCTGCTACTACACTTTGTAGACTCTCCAGCATTTAGTCTCCCCACTAAAAGTGAGACTATCGAGCTGAATAAAACCTGACAGCCCTTCTAAAGCTAAGATTCTATTGTGCTATTAACCTATGCACGAATGCAACACTATTTTTGTTGTGGAGCTTTTTGTTTTGCTTTATTTCATTTTATTTTGGTAGATTGAACCCAAGATATTCACCCTTGCTACATTGCCAGACCATTTATTTATTTATTTATTTATTTATTTATTTAGACAGAGTCTCACTAAATCACCAAGTTGCCCAGGCTGGGTTAGAATCTGTGGTCTTCCTGTCTCAGTCTCCCAATGTGCTGAGACTTCAGGCATGCACTACAACTAATAGCTTGGAATCTTTATTATATATGTTTAGTATGAAAGGGCTATCCATAATCTATCTCTGTTTCTTATCATCTATCTTTGACTTTGCTCTTTAAATTGTTTATATATTGGGGTTCACATATAAGAGAAACCATGCAATATTTAAGCTTTGGTTCTGATTTATTTGGAGATTAAAAAAGGGGCTATGAGGATGAGGAGGTGGGAGAGAGGGGTGAAGAAGGAGAAATAAAAAGGATCAAGTTACAAAGAAAAGAAAAGATAGAAAGGGTGGGCTATCCACCATTCTTTATTCTCTTCCATTTTAGGAATTTTCTTATGTCCTTGTTTATTTGTTCTTCCAAATCAATATTACAATCAAATTATATGAAAACAAAAAGCAAGTGCTTTTTATGGTGTTGTTGTGCTTTGTCTTTTTCTCAGAAGGAACTGACATTTTTATATTAATTCATCCTATTCAAGAACAACATGTATATCTTTCCATTTTTCAGGCATTTTGTTCTTTATTAAGTAAGATGCTGGATTTTAACATACATATTAAGATAAAGCTAATGAATTTTCTAATTTACCTAATATTTTGTTATATTTTAGTTAATGTATTATTCATGTCTTTTTTCACCTATGTAATTAGTGATTTGATTTTTTTAGGCTGATAAATGTATATCTTATGAGAGGATTTTCTAATACCAAATGAACTTGTATTCTAGGAATAGGTACTACTCAGCCATGATATATTACTTCATAATGTGCTGTTGGATTCTGTGTACTTATATTTTTTATGACTTTGGCACTTGATATTCATAAACGAAATTGACCAGTAGTCTTATTAATATAATTATTTTAGGTTTTGAATTGCTGTTATACTCACTCAATAAGATCTATTTGAAATTTTCCTTGCTTTCAATGCTCTGTAATAGTATAAGTAGTAAGATGACCTCATCAGTGAAAATTTGTAGAATTTCCCCGCAAACCTGGGGCTGGTGCTTCTTCCTCCTCTCAGTGTGGAAGCCACTTTACATACATTTTATGACCTGTATAGGTTTTATTCCTCAAATTAAGACAATTTTGGTAAATTGTTTTCTATAACATTTTTATTATGTTTCAATTTTTAAAATTTGCTTTAAAAGCTTTTGTCTTTTTTGATGGTCATTTTCTCCACCTTTTAAAAATTGTTGTGTATTTGTATTTTCTCCATTTTTATCTTGTTTGTGTTAGGTAAAGTTTTGTCTCCTTTCATTTTATTTTCATTAATTCTACTTGTTTTTCTGTTTCAAACTCATTACAAATTCAAGTGTCTTTTAGCTAAAATTAATGCCTTGGTGGTTTCCTTTTCAGAATGCCCTCCTGGTTATTATGGTCCAGGCTGCCATTTTAATTGCACATGTCAGAATCATGGTGTTTGCAACAGGTTTTCTGGAAGCTGTGAGTGCCCCCAGGGTTACTATGGACAAGGCTGTGAACATGGTAAACTGCGAAAATATTGGGCATATTATGGTGTTTATATGTTCTGAGCTTTCAAAATAATTTTAAATCCTAACACTAATATAGTTACATTACACCAAATTAGATAACCTTTTAGAATATATTCTTGCAATTAGAGCTAATTCCATAGCTCATATTTCAATTCTATGTATTTTTAGCTGTCATGATGAAAAAATTGGTCTTTTAAATTCTTTTTGACATTTCTTTCCAAGAAACAGTTCCATGATTCCATAATCATTTGGGGTACACACAGGCAGAAGACACAACTAAATGAGAATTATCTGTGAATCTTTCTAGAAAGAGAAATCATTCTTTTCCTAGCTGCTTTTAGGCTATAATAGATGAGGAAGCTAATTATTTCTGACATGTTAATCTAGACCTAACTGAAAGTTCTGCTTTCAAGTTCTCTTGAGCATATTCATTTATGTATCTCTCCACTAGACTCAGTATTTTCAACTAAAATTAGTAAATATGAGAATTATATAATGTGTCTTTGGCATCAGAACATCCTAATGGACAATACAATTAAGAGATTAAGATGTGAGTTTAGGCTGTGATCAAAGATAACTAGCTCTGCAGGTTTCACCATTTATAGAATGTGTCTAATACACATACCTTAGAAGGTTATTATATGAATTAAATGAGATACAGTGCAATTAGAACTGGGACAAATGCAAACGCTTGGTGAATATTAGTTATTTATAATGTGAAGAGTTTTCTGAAGTCTCTTAAATGATATTATTACTTATGCCCCCCTTCTTCTACCTTGGCAGATACATTTGCTAGGAATAGATCTTATTAACTATTTGGAAGTGTAGAGCTCCAAATTTTAGGGTTGTGGGTCAGGGAATATGGAACCAAACATCTTGTGGTTTTCGTTAGTTTCTTTTTGTTTTCAAAATTAGAATAAGAAGTAAAAGAGAGGAAACAATATTTACTCAAAATCTGTCAATTTTATCCTACATGCCATGAGATTTCAAGAAGGATTTAAGTAAAAAAGAAATATCACTCTAGTGAAGTAACTGTAATGTGGGTAGGTACATTATTGAATATTAGGGAAAAGAGCCATCAGTAGCATACAGGTAAGAAGCTAGTGATGATCTAGGATTTGATAATCTGGACTGGTAAAAAAATGGAAATGAATGATCAGAAAATTATTTTGGAAGAATAGTCGACTATATTGGTGATTGAGATGGGCATAGAAACAGGGAAGATGAAGAAATCAAATTCTAAAATTCACATGAGGGAACTTGGAAGAATAGCATTGTTTAGTGAAACAAAAAGGTCAAGCAAGGCAACCCTTATGATCTCAGTTTTATATATCATTAAAGTAAGGGAGATGGAAGAGATCTGATCTTTCTAAATGTTCGCAGTAACATCACAGTAACATGCAGTAACACTGTACTGAATTTCCCTTATCATTTATTGTTAAGAGTTATAATGAGATCAGCAAATGGAATTCCTTATTTCCTTTTGGTTTTACCTCCTGTTCTGCTTTGTGTGTCTTTCCTAACAAGATATCTGTCCTGAGTAACTCCAGGTATACTGGAGAAGAGTCATCCACCATAAGCCTGGACCAATCCAACTCTACATGTTGGGGGG